AGTTGATGTAGTCAACAGGATGAAGTTTGGTGAATACTTGTCCGAGACACTCGAGGTAGGTCGCTGGGACGTCTCTGGTATGGACCAACTGGCCGACGAGTGAATGGTCATGGTCAATGAGGCTAGTAGCTCGCCTACCACTATGTCATGAGCTGAACCCATCGAGCGGAGGCCCCAACCACAGACAAGAGCTTGCAGGAAGTAGCTAGGCTTGGTACCATACAGGACAGTAACGTAGGCATAACGAGAGGGTGTTGGCGGGCTTAACAAACCTAGGGACATAGTAAGATGTTAAGAAGAGGACGATATTCCTGTATCATGATGACCTTCGAGGCCTTCTCCTCCCTCAATGGATAGTGAATGGCAGTCGATGTCAATAGATAAAGGCTTCCGACAGCATGGGCATATCCCGCTATAGCTGAGCACATCACTCTGAGGATGATGTTGCTGAGCATTAAGACCACGAATAACCCTATGGGTCATAAAGCTCCAGAGTGACTGAGAGGAAAAGACTCATCGAGAGGATCACCGTATCACATTCAGAGTGAATTATGATACACCCACCATCGTCATTGCAGGTATCCCCTTTTGGTCACCGGATAATAGCCGTTTGAGAACCACACCACGTTGCTCCTGTGTGAGCTGTGATAGCTTCTCCATCACCTCATCCTCGGCTGAAAGCCTTGATGGCTTGATACCCATGCGGGATTACACTCAACCACTATGACTAAGAAACACCAATCCTGACTAGCTATGATAACCCTCGGACGTGCTGTTAGGCAATCGTGAGGAACAACAACAACAACAACTATCACTAATCAATTGACGACGAAAACGAAGACAACGGATAGTATGGAAATGAGTTACTCAGTGACAGAGCCTCAACTAGCACCACTACGCCGCTACCGCCTGCCGCTACTCTGATGGGAGAGGCGATGTTGAGATGGTGGCGAGACATACTCCTCCATCGTAGTCCGCGGGGAGACTATAAGGCTGCCGCGTTGGTAAACGACAACCTTGGAATCGGAAAACACTTGCCTTATGGTAGAGTGTGTAGTGATTCACCTTCTCATAGTCCTTAGATTGTACGACGTGTAGTGCTTCTGCTGTAGCAGCAAGAGCACTAGTCAGTCGGGGGGGACTGTTGAACAACAGAGGCGGCAAGGCTTGTGGTAGAGTGGACTCTTGTCCTACCTGATGACGAGGTGTGATAACGAGTGTGACGGCCGTACCCCTCCCAGCAAGATGGTAGCCACGACGCAACTCCTACCCTGCCACCACAGTGACTGTGGGGGACTACACGCAGACAGCCTCTTTGGCAGGCACCAGCAATGATGGGAGCAATACCAATAGTGTATTGCCCAGTGGTGATGTTGTGGATAAGTGTGCCGCTGTCTACTGCCCTAGTAATGGGCTTGGGATTGAAAGACGCTGCTACTACCACATCCACAGCCTAATGTGACTAGACTACCGAAATAGTACACGTAAAGAGTAGTATTATACGTTCTTCCGGACACGAATGGCCAGAAGCCACGTGGCCGATACGAGGGGGAGGGGTGGCTTCTACAAGAGGCAGGGACGACCATCCACAAAAAGAGATCAGTCATGATGACACCCCATGGGGGACCCTACTG